CTTTCAATGATTTGAGCTGTTCTTCGGTAAAGAGAAAGGAGAGAAGGCAAGAAAATATGTTGGATTCCTTCAGGCAAAATATAGATTCTTTCTGAGACAACAAGAGCTTTGGGCAGAGCATAATGTTGAAGAGGGAGGGCAGGGTGGGGGGGACCCTGTCACTTAATCACTATGAATTTTTTGAAGGGAAGAGGCATGCTTAGCTTTATAGCACGTGCGCACACACATCATGCAGGCTGATGCGCCATAGCAGCAAATAACAGGTCCTTTTTATTTTCAGACCTACCTATTCCCATGGCTGGAGTGCAGACAAGAAGGAAAATCAGTGTGCGCCCAGTAGAAAAGGCAAAATGTTGTTTTTAGGCTTCTAAGTGGGAACAGTCTGCTTTGGGAGGCTGACAAAAGTGATAAGAGCAGTTTCAAGTCAGCAGTGCTATTTGAGTATTGGTATTTAAGCACAGCAGGTCTGGCTTTCTCATCATATCATTTGACCTGTGGCTTAGGAAAGATGGACTTGGATCATTGTTTCACTCGCGTAGAAGCATGGCCATTGACGTTGACATTGATGTAGGCAGCTGAGGCAGATTTATAAGCCAGTGCTCTGTTGTACATAGGAAATTTTATCAGTGGAGATGCATTTTAAAGCAGTGGTTTCTCCTAAGTAATCACACAGGTAATGCATCTCCCTGACTTAAAACAGTGTGAGGTGGTATTGATGGCTGTGGCATGTTAATGCATCTCTTATAGCAGTAGCTTTCAGAGATCAAGCAGCTGTTGGAGGCTGAAGCACTGTTTTCTGCAGTTATTCAGTGAAGGTATGTGCATTGTCTTCATTGTAATGGTCAGGAAGAGCATCTTTCTTTAATAATCTTGTAGTAGATGGCTGGAAATTAGCCACATGGGCATTCATCTTAGAATGCTGTTTCTGTGTTCGTGAGATGTTGGCCAAGGGCTCTCTTGGTTGCCTACCATCCTTCAACTTACTGTTACCTAAATTGGTGGCAGTGCTTCCAGCATGTAGCCAGGTAAGAAAATGTGTCCTGGTATCAGGCTAAAACTCATTCTAGCAAACAGACACAGGTCTCTGCTGGAAGTGATTTTTTTTTTTTTTTTTTAGAGGATGGTTCAAACTGTTTGTAACACAGCAGGCAAAGGAACAGGGAATACGTTTTTCTCAAGATAAGTTTAAGAAATGTACCCTTTAATTCTGAAGCTTGTGAGGTCATATCAACTGATGGCTTCGGAGGAACAGTAATGATTCACGCCAGCTTTCATCCATAATTTGTGAATTGCTTCTTTAGAGCAACTGATTAAATATGAATGAGAGGTTCATGGCCTGGCTTTGAATGGCCTGATAGGCAGAGATGCGTTAGTGTACTCATTGACATTAGTGCACACTGCTACTTCTCAGCATTTCTGGACCTTGTGCCATTTATTTTAGGTGTTGAGATGTGGTGAGCACTAGTTTATCGTTAATGTGGCCTTCCTGTCTTGCTCGTTTAAAATTTAAGTTGAACAGCTGGCAAAATAACTCAGCCAAGATGCTGTGATCTTTAATTGGCTATGGTTCAGATATTTGTCCTTTACGAATACAAGCTCGTTTTTAGTTTTAGGCTCAGCTTGGGCCACAGTTGGATTGATGTTCTAGACTGTCACCGCTCGTTCCATGGGCTATGTGATGGGACAACAGAGAGGCTAATAAAGCAGATGGGAAGGTTGCTCGTGCTGCTGGGTTGTGTGCAAAATCCACCTTTTCTTGAAGTGTCCTAGCATGAACTTACCTAATAGATCATCATGGCTCATGTGAAACTCTTACAGTCTATTCTGTGCAATCTGGCGTCCTTTTATGGCATAGGGTTTTTTATTTAAAGAACAAACTTGGTGTTTAAAAGAGCAGTACACACACACATGCACCCGCTATTTAAAACCTGTGAAGGCCAAGCTGAGTCGACAAAAGCTAGGAAATCAAAGTGAAGACTGACGCTTTGTGCCCGAATCTCACAGCTGTGCTTTCTTTTCACAGCTGCATGAGCCGTGTATTGAGTATCAACCTTTGCTTTCAGTTTCTCAGCTTTTGTCGACTTTTGCCACAACCTTCACAGGTTTTAAACATCCTGCTTTGTCAATTGAAGATGCATCAAAGTTTTGGAGCCGTGCTCGCTTTGTTACATCAGGGTTGTCTGTTCAATTGAAATCTAGATACGACATTGTTCCAAGTCAGTGAAGAATACATGTATGGATGGTATATTTAGCTGCAAATGCCAGCTTAGTAATAGGACTTGCCATTTGAGTTTGTTCCTTCCATAACTTTGTTATCAGCACAGTAACCTCAGTCTCAATGCTCAGGAGCTTTCATAAAGAGCTAATTGGTTGTGGGAGCTATCCAGATCTGGTCTTTGGTGGATGGTACACTCAGTTTTGTTACCTATTTCCCCCCCGCCACTCTTCTTCTGCCTGCCCTTGGTTTTTTTTGCCATGTGGTTCTTCATTGGAAATCGCTTTTAGAAGGCTTGGGGAGGTTCTTGTCTGTGTTTTTGTGCCACCTTAGCAGCCCCTGTCATGTGCCAGCTACTGTACAAACACAGAACAAAAAGTTAGTCCCTGCCCCAGAGGGCTTGCAATCCAAGTATGGGACAAGAGATGACATACAGCAGAGTACAGGGAAACAGTGAGAGCGTATTGGTCAGCAGTGGACCAAGTGCCCCAACCCTGTACCCGCTGTCGAGTTTAAATGTTTGTTATTTGGATTAGATGAGAGATTTATGAACAGCTGAGGTGAATGGCAGTCAAAGACTATAGCGTATCATCCCATTGAGTTTGGGGCTTTTTTTTTTTTTTTTTTTCCTTAAGCAGATCTCTTTTTCAGAATCAGTGGGACACCGTGACAGAAGAAAACTAATGCACAGTTTGGGTATGGTAGTGGTGCCAAGTTAGTTTCTGTCTGATGCTGTGTGTTGTGCATGAGGGTCCCAGCCTGGATCAGGGCGCATTTAAGAAAAGAGGTTTTTTCATAGGCAGTTTTGAAGAGTTCAGGGTTTACAACAGCTCCTAGAGATGTCATCTGTATGGAGGTTGTGGACACCGTTGGAGCGGCAGTATAGTGGGGTTGGGAACAAAGCAGGACAAATGTCATTGCATTGTGGAGGAAAGGGCAGAGGCCTTGGGAGAGACCTGTGTTTTAGAAGATGGTGGGTGTGAGGAGCTCATAGGAGTTCTTCGGCCCCAACCCCCTCCCCAGTACGTGTTACATGAATTGGCAAACTCTTTCGTGCCAGTAGCTTTGGTGAGTCCATTGCTGGTAATCCAACTCCTTAGGCAGCAAAGCTAACACTTGTGTTGTCTACGAAGTTTTCACACCAATCAGTGCTCTCTCTTCTGGGTGTGTGCATGGAGAATTGGTTTGTGATCATCCCTGCTGTGCGGGCCGGGAGCGACCCGAGCCCTTTTCGCGCTGCACGCGGGCTGTGGCGAGCAGCCCGGGCTCGCCGGGTCGGAGAGGGAAGGCCTTCGAGCTGGAATTAGGCACAAACGCGTAGTGGTAGTTTTAAAGATTGTTTACTTACACCGAGATGGCAGTGGTGCAGGCTGGAAAACTTGCTTGAGTTGCGGTTACAGACAGACAACACAGACGGTCTCGTGGAGGTTGCTAGGCTCCACGGTGCAGAGCTCCGGATGCTCTGGGTGAACGAGCCACCAAAATAGAAATCGTAAATACGTCTTATAAAAGTCGCGTTCGAAGACGGGAAGAGGTGGGCGGTGGATCAGGCCGCCAAGCTCCTCTGGATCTCGCACAGGGTTTCTATTACCCTGCCGTGTACCCAGAGTCCCCACGAGATAGATGTGGAGTCCTCTTCGGCTTGGGCGGGAAATGCTCAAGCCTCGTGCATTCCTCTTGCAACATGAGCAATGCACCCTGCAAAAGAAGTTGCAGAAAAGGCGGGAAACTCGTCCCTGCACCGGGGTTTTCCTCTTGCTACAGGAAACTCTCCCGTGCAGTGCTCTGCAACTTGGCGGGGATAATTCTGGTGCCGAAGCGCACACACAATCATGCCTTTTGGGTCATGACACCTGCAATACTGCCTTTCCCTTTTTAGTACATTCTTTCAAAGGCGCGGAGCAGCAGACTGATTAGCTGTCACGTTCCCAAAATCCCACTGTACTTGAAGATAGCATGCTATAGATTTATATCATTTCCACGTTCTCTTTCGAGAGCTAAGAATCAGAGGTCTGTCCCTTGAATTCCTTGTTGAAAGAAGGCCTTTTTCAGCCCAGGTATTTATTCTCCATTACATCCCTTGATCTCACTTTATTTTTCACCAGCGACCTCGGCCAGCCCTCGGTGCATTTGTTGGTGGTGGAAGGTAGCCACACCACACAGCAGGGCGGTGTGTTGTTGAGAGAGTACTGTAAGCTTTATAATGCCAAGCTGTTTCTATGCACTTCTGCAAGAGGTTTTCTTTCCTCTCTCTCTCTCTCCTTATGTGGTGCTCCAGGAACTTGTTCTTTGCTGTGCAACGAAAATGAACACAGTCCTCTGGAGGAGTAAGCTTCACGCTCTGTCTCTGTCCCCAAAGCACACATTACTTCCAAAATGCTAGTTCCAGTTGATTAGATAAATATGAGACCAATATTGCTGCATAAGATGCCACTCCCTTTGAAGACTGTTGGGTTTGGTGCCTCTTTGTTCCTTGGAATTTCTTGCGGTAGAAATATTAGAAAATGGTAAAGGGAAAATTTACGATCCGTTATGGTTTCGACTGTCTTCTGGGAGAGACTGGAGAAAGCAGAGAGCAAGTCGACTTGTTTTAATGTTCTCCCTCCCACTAAATAAAACTGAGATTACCCTTCAGGTTCTGCAAATTTCACTTATTTATTTTTACTGTTGATACAGTAAGTGCAATAAGTCCCATTCTCTCCTTCCTACTCCCTTTCCCTTGGTATTGATTCACCTCCAGCTCTGTTTATTGACATAATTTTGTTTTTCTGCTTTTATTATTTAGCTACATGAAAGTAACTACGATGCCGGAAAAGCCCTGCAGCGCTTGGTGAAGAAGCCTGTGCCCAAACTGATCGAGAAGTGTTGGACTGAAGACGAAGTGGTGAGGAGTGATTTATTCCCTTCTGCCATGCAGAAGGGTTGCTTGCTTCTTCCTCAGCTCAGAGGTCTTCTTTAAGGCAGTTGCAAGGAGCCTATTCCATGGGGTGAAGCTTTCACTTCATTTCTAAGTGAGCTGACCCTTAATCGATAGACAGTAGACACGGCCCAGTTAGCGCAAGGAAAAATATCTTTCCACTGTGGAGATGGGGAGATAACTCTTGCTTCCAGGGGACATCCCGCAACAGATCCAGCAGCAGTAGAAGTCTCAGGCTCTTCATTTCACATCCTGCCCAGTATTGCTTTTGGACTGGCCTGGCACTTTATGTAGCAGTTGCAGTCAGAGAGGACATACACTGGGACCAGAGCGTACGACATGGTTTTTGTTGGTTTGGCTACTTCTCTCAGGAACCTGAGGGAACAGGAGTAAGGATCGCAGTCTTCGGTTCATGCTGCTCAATACACGGTCAATAGTCAGTGTTTCTCCTAGTTGAGGTTTATATAAGGATTGTGACCGCCCGCCGAAAAATAGGGACCAGCACAGATATTGCTGGCTGGATCTTCAGTGTGACATAAACCAAACGGGGATCCTCTGAAAGTGGTGTTGTCTGGCTACGTGTATCACATCTAACTTGTCAGGAGATCTTCCTGGTCCAAAATGGTACTGAATACAGCGTGTGTATTTTATATGCAATTTCCAGAGTCAGGTAAGGCTGGGAAGAGTTGGTATGAGCAGGTAGACCCAAAGCAGGACAGAATCCCTGCATGAGCTGAATGCAGGCATTTCAAAACCTCACAGCCATGGGCCCAATGACCTTCATTTGTAATATTCAGTTTTGTACTTAATAGTTGTTTTTTGTGGTTGTTGTAAAACCAAATAACTGAAATGGGAACGGCAGTTTAAAGTTAGTGGGGTTTTTTTGGTTTTTAATTTGCCTACACCCTGTACAGAATGGAGAAATGTTCATTGTATCCCCTATTTAATGAACAGCCTTTGTTGGAATTCAAGCGTTCCCCTGCAGTGTTTGATTTCCAAGCCCTGCCGCATTGCAACTGTTTGCTCTTTGCAAAACTTTATAGCAATATGCTACTGCAAGAGATACTTGACTGTAAACAGGATGAAACTGTCTTGTCTATTTTAATCCTCAAAGATGAAAGAAGGGCTACGAGTAAACAGTGCAAGTAAGTTAAAGTAGATCAGAGCCGCAGAGTTGTTTTGCCCTTTAAACCGCAGTGATGTTAGTGGCACCGCTGAGGAAATACATATTTCTAAACAGAGACTTATAATCAGATAGTGTCCCTTTAACAAACTATGCGTAGTCATGTCTGGTTTGATGAGGAAAGGGTAAATGCTATGTTTCCTAGCTAAGCAATTAAACAGCAGTGTACGTTAAGGTGGGAAGCTCAGACAGTTGCTATTTTATAATTATTAAATATATTTATCTACAAACAGTGGACGACATTTGCAGTTTGTACCATGTGCAGTCTGTAAAGTGTACATCTTCCAACATGTCACGGTAATCTTTCTGGATAAATGTCTTCCGGTGAGAAATTCAGCGTTTGCATGGGTTTTCTTTTGTTGCTTTTTTTTTTTTTTTTTTTTTTAACCAAACTTGTAAATGGAGAAAAATTCCTAGCGAGAGAAGCAGATGTGAACCAAACAACATTTGTTTGTGGGAGAACTTCTACACTAGTTAATTTTCTAGATGGAATTAAAGCGTGTTAAGAAATAATCTGGCGGTGGGTGGAACATAGTCTTGTTAATCAAGTTACTAATTAAGCTGGCACCAGAGTCATAAAATAGAACTGATTAATAACGGGTGAAATTTTCCTAGTCTCTTAACATTTTTGAATTATTCAGAAAATGGCTGGAGAGAGATTTTAAAGCTCTAGTTGCTCTGAAAATCTTGCAAGAAGTTTATTCTAGCAAATTATGTGCATGCTGCTCTCTCCATATATGAACCTTTTTACAAGAGAGAGAGGTAGGTTAGGGGTAGGCCAGAAAACCCCCGTATTAAAAGCAGTCTTATTCTGAAATCAAACAAAAGACCTTTGTGGTGAAGGAAATGCCTGAAGCCATGAGGTGAAAGAGGATCTACAGGCTTTCAGAGGAGGGATGGAAGTGGAGAACAAGGAGCAAACACCTAGGAACGTGGGTCCTTAATAAGACCTAGGATGATCTTGTCATGAGTGGGGCATTTTGTTTAAAGCAGGAACCGTTCATACAAATACTTCTGAAGATCTGCTCTCGGTTTTGCACATTTGCCCTGCGAACGTTTTATCCCCACTCTCCCTCCACATATGCTTTCCTTAAAAGGGTTAGCTGAGTGGTGCCAATCCCTACTTCCCTATTCAGAAAATACTGTCCCCTTTTCCCTTCCCCTGTCTTTACTGGCAGGCTGCAGTGGGGCTCTAAGTGTCGTCATCATTGCAGCTCAGGGTTTTGATCAACAGTCAGTGTTAAATGATGGAGAGCGGAGCCTTACAAATAAGAAAAAAAGCAAGGTTTATTGAAAAATGAAACATTACTCCCAAACAGCGAACAGTATGAGTACAGAATAATGATCATTAACTCTATAAATCATTGTCAGTCTCGGCTCATTTTATCATATTTGCTTCTTGTTCTATTCCATCCAAGTTTCCAGAAATGTTTGGCAGCCATCCAAGTACGCCAGAGCCGGAGATCAGCCTGTTCTCTTATTTATAGGGAGCAGAGCTCCACCCTTGCAACCTCAGAGCCCGCTTCTCTCAGGTTGACATCTTGCAGAAAGTTCCAGGCTAAAGCAGACGCGCCCAGCACTGGGGCATTTCTTCCAAGGGAAAGGAAGTCCTGCACTAGCATTTGCAGGGCTCCTGCCACACATCGCGCGTCAGAAATCTTCAGAAATCTTCCACAAAACTTTTTTTTTTCTTCCCTCCCTCCCACCAGAACATGCCGGTGCATTGGAAGCAAAGCATTTTATGGAAACAGATTTTGACAAAAACTTTTTCAGGACGGGTTTCTCACATCCAGGATAGGAGACAGGTGGTGAGGAAAGGTGATCCACGCAGGACAGCCAGCCATTGCCTGATAGTTGAGGGTGCACACTGCGCTGTGGCCAGACTGAGGGGTATATCCTGTCTCCACAGCGCCTAGTGGTAGAGTTGGTGTCGTCTTTGACCAAATGAATATTTACTGGCACAAAGTGATACCTCCCAGAGAGACGTTAGCTAGGTGCTCAGTAGATAAGTGGGTGACCACCCATCATCAGATCCATGTTCCCGCATTCCTGGCAGATGGCTTAACCACGGGGTTATCAGCTACTCTGCAAAGTATTTTTGGCAAGGTCTCATTTGTGCTCCAGTGCAGGAGGAAAACAAATTTGGGGAATTGCAGCAATTTTTGTGACGCTGCACGCTTGTCTTTTCAGCCAGCGCCGCTCAGGCTCTTCAAGGCGACTCAGCAGCGAGCCTCCCTGGTTGCTCATGGGGAAGCAAAGCAAACCAGAAGAGTATAATGAAGGGGTTCGAATGGACTCTCTCTAAAGCTACATCCTACAGTCTCTTTTTTCCCCAAGACAGAACACCCACAAACTGGCGGGAGAATAGTTTTGAGTCAGAGCTGCAGGATGCGAGAGCATCCATTTCTTTCCCAGGGGTTGACTTGCACAATTGCACTTGTCAACGTGGCCGTTCCTGAGTATTGTGCAGCCTGGCCTCCCATAGCACGCAGTGCTATTCATGATGTCAGCAGTGCTCTTTGAATAGCTCGCATTTGTTTGTTAGTTAACTTCTGGCTCGCATGTGGACTGTTCCTTGTCCAAAGATTAAGGCCTCCTCGTTAATTAAAACAACTTTCTGCAGTCAGTGACTGAATTATCCAGTAAGAGCTGCCTGCAGCAATCAGAGTTGATTAAAATAAAGGATGGAAGTTATGTTGTTTTTGCTACAAATGATGCGGTTATAGAGGTTTAGATCAAATTAAATGGAGGATAAAATTGACCAGTGATTGAATTAAGTGGAGGGCTCTGTAAATATGAAGATGAAGGTTTTCTCATCTCCCTGATGTTTGTCAAACTGTGGCTATTTTTAAATCTCTCTCTCCTTCCAATATGTAAATTCATGAGCATGCTGTGAAAACCACAGTCTGCCTTATAAAAGTGGTTGAAGAAACTACTTTACTGTTGCATCAGTATGAAGCCTCAGCAGCAGCTGCTTCCTGTTTATACGGGTTACTGTTACACCTGGCAACATAAATCTCCAGCAGTGACTTGCGGGGAGGGGTCAGTGGTCCTTGTAGCCCAGATGAATCTGCTCCTCCTGATGAATTGTCAAATCATTGTCATGCCAAGCTGCACATCAGCACCTTCTCAATAAGCATTTTAAAAGACTGTCATTTCACCGGGTAATGCAACCGAGTCTCACTAGACCGTCACCTGGTGGGTTCTGGTTTGGGTGGAAAGCTGTGGCTTTCCAACCAGGCTTTTTCTTGCATCTGGGGAAGGTCAGGGAGCTCACAGCTGTCATCCATGTCCTTCATTTTGACGCAACAGCTGGCTGTGCCCTCCTACAAGCTCCGTAACACCGAATGTCATGCCGGACACGTGCCATGTGCTGCTTAGTGTTACAGCAAGGTTGCACAGTAGTTGGAAAAGGGGAGCTGCGACTAGATCCACTAGAGATGTTCTAGATATGCGCTCCACATGATATCTGCTGTTAAAATAAGGTGGTAAAGCAGCCAGATGTCTTACTTCCACTCTCGTAAACCATTTAACCCTGAAGCACTCCAAGACAGGTATTTTTGAGTATATCCTATCAGATCAAAACAGCAGATGTCGGGTTTAATCATTAAAATATATATTTATTGAATAGGGAAACATTCTTAAACCAGATTATAGTGCCACGCTGAGCTCCTGTTGTAACCTAGTACACACAGTTAGGGTGAGTGCAAAGGCCCCTCTGAACAGTTGGTGGGATTGGGATCTGTGCCTCCTGATCTTCCTCCCCTTGGTTCCTTTGTGGAAA